TTGCTGCGGCCCCGCCCGGACGCTCACTCACTCACTGTGGTTCTTTGCTGCGGCCCCGCCTGGAACGGGGTGGTGTTTTGTTTTTTGCTGCGGCCTCGCCCGGACGCGCACTTACTCACTGTGGGCTGGGGCGACCCTTTCGGCAAGGCCCGAATGGTATTTTTGTTTTTGCTGCGGCCCCGCCGAACCCGGCGAGCCAATAATAAAAAATGTCTGGTGTACTACAGCCAAAAGATAACACCACTTCCTTTGATTACCTGTGGCCCCCCCAAAAAAGCAAACTTTTAAGGGAATATAAATAGAACCCATAAGAATTATAATGAGGAACCAAAAACAAGGTAGCATTTGGGTGGCTGTCTAAATGAGGGTCCCTTTTTTGGTCCCCAATATAGTACGGCACCCTTAAAAAAGGACGCTGAAAGGGACCCTAATTTAGAGAACTACCCATTTAAAGGCTACGGGTAGGGTTCATGGCTCTTCAAGCTTGTGGTCCACCTTTGCTGCACCAACGACATTGGCTTTTGACAAGATTCCTACTTCGCATTCTTCCTCGCTGCCATAAGCCACACAAAACGGTTTGGGGTTTAGGGTCTAAGGTTTAGGGACAAGCTCAACGAGAAGCAGCTTTCGTCAGCAATATCAGCAGAAAACGAGGCAGCATCACAAGCAGCCTCAGCAATGCAACAACTACGCTCACCGAAAGAATCATAGTAACAGCCTTTATGGTCACTGTGGTCGTTGTGATCGTGGTCACGATTGTCGTAACCATCCTGGGCATCCTCGTCGCAGTCGTCGTGAAGAGTAGGAGCAGCAGCACATCAACAAGAGAAAAAAACAATCGTCACTTCATCGTTGCTGCAACAGTCACTAAGACAACACGAACTATCGGCCAGCCGCGGAAGCAAACATCTGATGCCCGGAGCCCCGTCTTCTTCCCTGGAGCGGTGGTACATCTTTCAATATGCCAAAGCCTGCGATCGTAATGGTTTAGGGTTTAGGGTTGAGGTTTAGGGTTTAGGGTTTAGGGTTTAGGGTTTAGGGTTTAGCCTGAAACCTATGGCCTCAGCCCTCAACCCAAACCCCTGACCCGCCCATCTGCCGCATGCATATTTTGACTTCAGGCTCCTATAGAGGTCCTACATAAGGAGAAAAAAAAGGCCACTGCAAGTGGAACTCGGGTGCTTACAAACCTTATACTAAACCCTAAGCGCTAAACCCTAAACCCTAAACCCTAAACTTCCTAAACCCTATACCGGAAGCGAGCCTCCCGTTTGTACATCTTCATGCCCATGCCGGTCTCAGCTTTCATCTTCGCGATCATGTCCTCCGTCTCCACCTTGCTGCTGCAAAAACCGATGAATACGAAATACCCCTTATAGCATACCTAAACCCTAAACCCTAAACCCTAAACTCTAAACCCTAAACCCTAAACCCTAAACCCTAAACCCTAAACTCTAAACCCTAAACCCTAAACTCTAAACCCTAAACACTAGAAAGTCCGAAGGGTCCACATTAGGGGCCCAGACTTCTAACCGCTTGGATGTAAGCCTCCAAAAGGCGATCTAAAGCCATTTATGATAGGGTTTAGGGAATTTAGGGGTTTAGGGTTTAGGGAATTTAGGGAATTTAAGGTATTTAGGGAATTTAGGGTTTAGGGTTTAGGGTTTAGGGCTTTAGGGGTTTAGGGTTTAGGGTTTAGGGGTTTAGGGTTTAGGGAATTTAGGAGTTTAGGGTTTAGGGGTTTAGGGTTTAGGCTTCAGGCTTTAGAGTTTAGGGTTTAGGTTTTATGGCTTCTTCAACCTGCCGCCTCATTGGAAAATCAGTTCGGGCACGGATCACTCAAGCGCACCTGCGCCTGTTGCAGTTTTGAACTCAGAAGGTTCAAGGTTTAGAAGAAAACCCTACTACGCAAGTCACCGTACCGAATACTAAGCTCGATTGGCAATGTAGGTGCTCATAGAACATTCACTACTAGGGTTTTAAACTAGGGTTTTGGGTGTAGGGATTAGGCCGTTTACCCCAAAATTCCAAAACCCCATACCCCTACACCCTAAACACTACGGCGCCCGACTAGTTCTGCTCAAACGCCTTCGAACGACTTCGTCCCAACCCTAACTAAGACGCAAACCCGTAACCCCGGTTTTGGATGAGCAAAAAAACACAGAAAAAAACACCCTAAACCCTAAACCCTAGACCGAAAAAACCACAAGAACTACTAAAACCCAAGTGGTGGGCGTCTAAAGTCTCAGCCTACCAAAACCCTTCAGTTCTTAACTCTACTGCTTTTCTCTTACCCCTAGAAGCCTATAAGCCCTTGACGGAACCTTTAAAGGCTTTAAAGGAACACTTCTGGATCCCAAATCAAACGCACACTAAATGCCCGACCTCCTTCTGATCCCTGGGCTCGAAGGGCTCGTCCTTCCTCGAAACTTTTGCTTTGGCCGGGCTTTACGGGATTTTCCTAGTGTTTATAATCTGGTTACATACAGTACATGTATACATACGTACATGTGCTGTACATTTACACATACGTATACCTCTATATATGTATATATATATATATACATATATATATATATATATATATGACCCCGTTTCCGGGCGAGTTTATGATGAGGAGGAGGAGGACGATGATGACGATGATGATGATGACGATGATGATGATGGTGATGATGGTGATGATGGTGATGATGGTGATGATGGTGATGATGGTGATGATGATGGTGGTGATAATGACCATCATCATCATCATCA